CCCTGGGGTTTGTTAGTGTTCTTCAGCTTAGTTGCAGAAACATATAGTGTGTTTTATATATTTATTTTGCCGTGTTCTTCTAACTGTGCTAAACATAGTTGTTAAAAAGCAAAAGTATTTGAATAGCGTCTTCATAATTGCCTGCTAAACAGATTTGCCAGGAAATCATTAACTCTGTAATATTCATAATATTAGCATCAAGTTGTCATTTGATTTCTAATGAAACGTTAAGTGCAGTGTACAAGCAGCTCTCAACACTTGCTAGGAGGAGAAGCAGGGAACTTTTATGATAAACGAAATGTAAATTAGACTTGGGTAATATGTTGTTCAGTCAGCCATGGTTTTGTTGACTTATTCATTTCAGTAATCATTTCTAAAAATGCGGAAAGAAGAGCAAAACGGAACCGAAATGACTTTTTGATGGAGGCTTCAAAAGTATAATTATCATTAATGAAATTTTTAATTCTTTTAATTTTGCACAAAAGCCAATATATTGCACTGTTTATTGTCACTTTTAGTGAATCTGAATCATTTTTTTGAATTTTCCCTCTCTCTTTGACTGTGCCTGAGATGATACAGTTGAGTTTAAAAGTCTGAAACCACATTGAAAATCTGGGATTCAAAAATCTGGTTTTAGGATTTTGAAAAGTTTAAAGCAAAGAAATTGTGTGATGTCAAATAAAGAAGAAATACACTACCATGCAAAATTTGGGGTAGTATGAATTGAATACTTTTATTCAGCAAAGACTTATTAAATTGATGAAAAAAAGTGTCATAAGAAAAGTGTAATAAGAAATGTTATAATCAATCAGCAGCAAATCAGCCTATTAGAATGATTTCTGAAGGATCATGTGACACTGAAGACTGGAGTAATGATGCTGAAAATTCCGCTTTGCATCACAGGAATAAATTACATTTTAAAATATATTTGAATAGAAAATTATTTTAAATTATAATAATATTTCGGAATATTAAAGGGGTCCTATTATGCTCTTTTACAAAGTCTTGGTTTTGTTTTGGGGGTGTACTAGAACAGGCTCTCATACTAGGTTGTTCGAAAAACACATTATTTTTCACATATTTTACATTATTACAACACCTCTCTCTCCAGTTTGGCATGAACGGCTCGAATAGTTCCTGTATCAAATGAAGGCCCGCCTTCTGAAATACGAAATGTGCTGTGATTGGTTAGCTGGGCCAGTGTGCAAACGAGTCGTTCGTTGTAGTTTTTGAAAAGTGATTTCTGTTAAATAAAATATCTCCTTTTGAAGTGGATTTTGAGCTTTGTAACTTTGTAATGCAGATCTTTTTTTATGCTCAAACAGCAACATTACAGACTAACTAAAGCTGAAAAAGTGAAAAAGCATAATAGGACCCCTTTAAGTAAGAGACTTCTTTCAAGAAATCTTACCAACCCAAACTTTTGAATTGCACTGTAGTATTTGAAGGTCAAAAGTAAATTAGTGACATTAATCAGGTCGCTCTTTGAAGCATGAGATTTGGAACATTCTGAACATTCTTTGGAACATTCTGAAATAGAATTTCTAATGAAAACATAATTGTATTAAATTTCAAGTAAAAATGCAAAACAGATGCATTTTCATTAGTGCTCTCAGACTTTTGGACCCCATATGATGTAGCACTTCCATTGAGCTTTCATTATGGAGCTCTCGGCTGTGTGGCAGATCCCTCCTAAACAGGTCCTGCTTTCTTTCAGTTCACTGATCGTGGATGAAATTAGAGGTCTTCAGATCTGCTGGCGAGACCGATATAAGATGGCTGATTTAATGTGCCAACAAGATTTCACAACACATCCCTTGGCTTGCTGGTGAAAATGATGAGCCAAAAGTTTCAGGTATGCCACAAAACTGATTCTGGGGGGGAAATGGATTTAAATATGTTACAATATTTTAGAGTGCTACACTCTCACTGGTAGCTGAAAGCATTATTGAATTAGCCTCAGTGTTGGGGGTAACGCATTACAAGTAACGCGAGTGCCTAATCCCATTTTATTAACCAATGTCCTTGCTGCTGACCTTTGATGATCCAGTTCAACCATACTAATAAGCAAAAATGACTTTATTGGGGGTAACGCATTACAAGTAACGCGAGTTACGTAATCAGATTACTTTTTTTCAAGTAACTACTAAAGTAACGCATTACTTTTTAATTCACAAGAAAATATCCGAGTTACTTTTTCAAAAAAGTAATGCCAGTTACTTTGTTTCCCCATTTATTGACTGACAAGTCTCCTGTCCCCATACTGGGAGAAATCGGAAGGCGTTGTGTGCGCTGTGTGAACATGATGTTACTGTAGTTCTAGACTAAATGTGAATGTGCATTAATTCATCCCACTCACAAAAAAACAGATTTAGTATTAAAGGGGTCCTATTATGCTCTTTTACAAAGTCTTGTTTTGGGGGTGTACTAGAACATGCTCTCATGCTTGGTTTTTTTATTGCTGAAGAGTGTTGAACCTTCTTCTCCTGTGTTCTAATGTACAGATGTGAATTTACTTTTCCTTCAGCCTGAGGTTTATTCATTACACTTTTTGGTGTGAAAGGGCTTTTACATTTGCTATAAATAGAACTTCTTATATTAAAAACAATCAAGCCCTGCTCATATTTAAAAAGTAACGCAAAAGTAACGTAACGCATTACTTTCCATAAAAAGTAACTAAGTACCGTAATTAGTTACTTTTTTTTAATGGAGTAACGCAATATTGTAATGCATTACTTTTAAAAGTAACTTTCCCCAACACTGATTAGCCTAAATAGATAAAACACAAAAATGCTAAGTTTCTACAAGGCTCATGGTTTGGGAAAGTTGGCGGTCTGTCTTAAGTGATCCATCTCCTCAGTTTGACCTGCAGAAGTGTGAGCATGCATGTGTGTTGACGGAATAAAAATCCCCCTGAAGTATCTCTAGTGTGCTCACAGACCCAATTGAAAGAGCCAAATACTCATTATCCCGCACTCATCATGCAGTGAATCTGACTCTGGCTTAAGTTCACCTCTAAATCCCTGATTATTATGTCTCAAGTGAGAGGATTTTATGGAGACTTCCTTCTTTGAAGAAGCGTAGAACTAGCCCACATCCATTTGGATGAGATGTCTTATCCTCTGCTTATCCACAAGGACATCTCAGGCTTACAAGTTTTTAATTTATTATGATCCGTCAGAGCAAAAGTTTGTCTACAGCACAGCAAGAACACAAGCCTTCCATCTTTCACTGTGCATGTCTGCTTCAATCTCCATCTTAATTATGTGAAGAATCATTGAAGATTATCATGCATCACTAGTACTATTCCTCATACTTGAACAACTATGACTTATTTAGCTAAAGTCACAACAGAGAAAACATTCAGAAGTAACAAATTTAAAACTTAATGGTAACGTTAGCAAAACATTCTTGGAACATATTTTGTTAGCTGGGGAAACATCACACTTTAGATCATTTCAATCTAGTTATTTATATGTAAATATCTCCAGCATTAGGATGTCAGGTTTATATTATAGAGAGCATATGCTCTGATATCTGCTTGTCGTTCGTTAGTAATATTCATTCAGAAATCTTCTCATCATATGAAATATTCCTTAGCATATGGATTTTTGTTGTTGTTGTAATGAGATGAAGCATTATGTTGATCGTTATATTTACATTTTACACCCATTTAACAGATGTTTTTATTAAAAGTAATTTACACATGAGAAATGGCACATATTTTTAAATGAAGGATATCGATTCTTTATTGTTTTCCTTTCTGTTGTCTGAAATGAAAAGCCATCAGTCCTCAAGTCTCAGAGATGAAGCGTAGATGTTTTCTACACAGCCTCACATCAGTTTACTACAAAAACAATAGGTTTTTGTCATGATATCATGATACATGATCATGTGTGTCTGTGATATTATGTTCTGAAATGCTGAAAAGCACAGCCTTGTTTAAGACAAACTGGGATTGCAATCAGGTGAGTTTGTGGTGCCATCTTGTGGATAATTTACACTCTCAGCTGAGCTGGTTATTTAAAAATGTACTTAAACATTATGCAAACAGCAATTTGCTACATCAAAAGTATTTGCATGACAGATTTTGACCTATTTTAAATTATTTTTTAATAAAATATTAATAATGTTTGATCATCGTTAAATTAGAGACCAGAAAGTTTTCTCATACTTAATTTTCTCTTAACTAGTCAATGTTTTTGCTAGTGTTTTATTTACAGTAATTAATACAGATCCCAAACATGACTATAATCACCAAAATCTATTAATTGTGAAATAATATGCAGTGGCCCCAAAAGGTTTTTAGGTACTTTTAAATATATAAGCCACAGAATTTATTTTTTTCATTTATTTTGTTTATTTAATTAATTACTCATGTATTTATTAATTAATTAATTGTTTATTTCATTACTAATTTATTAATTTTGTTTGTTTAGATCAAAGATCTCACTTGCACAATCATCCTTTTCTAGCAAAACATTTTACAAAAAGAAGTTTTAAAGTAGATATAATGTTCAAAATGAAAGAGAAAATGTATTGACATTGTTAGTGTAGTTCTTTGCAGATGCCACTTGGTTTGAACTTCAGCATACATTGATTTTGATGAAACTCAAGCTGGAGGTTCAGATGTGTTTGTGTCCAAATACGTTGTGGAGTCTCTGTATACTAGATTATAACCTGTTCTGTGCATGTGCAATATAGTGCAACATAGTTTTCTTGTAATATGCATTTAACACGTAGGCCTATGGATAAAGTACTGCATCACTGTGAATCTGGATTCATGTTGAACTGTCAGACAATAGCGTGGTCAATTACAAAACAGCCAGCAAGGTGTTCAGAGTGAGCATGCTGTGTGCGTGTCATTTAATGAACTTCATGTCACGTTTCCCGCCACCTTACTGTGCTTATGACCCGAAGCGTTTGACTGTTCAGCCAATCACAAGACAGACAGACAATCATTGTGACCGGCTTTTTCTATGTTTCTGATACTGTACAGAGAAACAAGTCCTGATCTCATCTGTCACAAACAGATGCTCATCACACCGGTCATCTCAACACCACTTCTGTAACAAGGTAAGAGCTGGTGGTTTTTCACTAGTAGGTTTTTGCAAAAGTAGTTTGAGATTTCTTTAGAAAATTGGTTAATATTAAACAGTTACTGTTTACTGTAGATCCAAGATCTTATCTAAAAATTTAAAAAATAAATAAATAGCGATTGATCGAAAGTTTTGATTTATAAAAATAAAATGACATTTAAATATATTATTTAAAGTGTCTCTGCAAAAATTATATGTATATGTGTATATATATATGTATAGAAAGTGTGTATTTTCTGAACCTCTAGTCTAGTGCCACCCAGTGGAATTGCAAAAAAAAAAAAAAATTTAATTGTTTTCAAACAGGTTTCCAGAACATTTCTGCCATTGATCAACCAACAAAAACTTTATTTACAGTCTTATGCTTATTATTGTCTCTGTATATCAAACTAGGATAGGAGAAAGTATCTTAACATGGTAAAAAATGACACACTTTAGCTGTAAGATTAAATGGGTCTTTTGATGCTCTAAAAAACATTCAGAACTGTAAAGGCCCGTTCACACCAAGGACGATAACTATAAAGATAACGATAAAGATATAGTTCTAAAAATCGTTCTCAATATTAAAGAATAGCAAAGTCCACACAACTATAACGATAAAGACAGAGAAACGATATAGTTGGAATCACTTTCAAAACGATTTTTTTCCAACTGATGAACGATAAAAAATTGACAGCCAATCAGAATCCATCCTGCTGTAACGAGCTCAAGAATTTAAAGCGGCAGACGCGCGTGCGCTTAGAATAAACGGACGATATCGTTTGCTGGTGTGGATGCTAATATCGTTATCTTTATAGTTATCGTTCTTGGTGTGAATGGGGCTTTAATGTGTAGATCTGTGGACGTGTTTCCCATGTTTTCCCATGAATCACAGAGGCGTTCCCCCATGGATCAATGACACTGTCAGTCCTGATTATCTGTTTGTCCTGGAGTTGTTCTCCATTTGGTGTGAAGGACACTGATCATTACACACTGTTAATTACTGTATTACATGCTGTCTTACATTACTTGGGTGGCCAACAGTATGATTGTGTAATTAGCTTGGCATTATATTACTGTCAGCATTGTATTCGTTTCACGCAACAGTGAAGTTTAAATAGATTATTATCGGTAATGAAAAAATAAAACAAAATAAATATTACTTGTAAAACTTGTAAACATGTAAAACAAAATGAGAAATGTTGCCTTGGCATGTAACTGAAATAAGTTTAAGCACTAAAATTACTAACCGGAAATAACTAAAACTGAAATAAAAATTAATGTAATTAACCACTAGTATTTAAAAGAAAGAAAATGGCGAAAGCCAATTGTTAAAAATTAAACTAAAATTAAAATGAAATTTGAAAACACTGGTTTATATGAAACACAAGCATAAAAAATGATTCCGTGTAAATTGTTCATTCAATTAATTCCCAGTGACTTTCCCAGTTTTGGCAGTTTCCAAAGAATCATTGAAAAAAAATCATTTTGGGGGGGTTAATTGTCAAGATTTGGACAAAGTTTTGTTAAAGCTGAAGTGTGTAACTCAAGAACAAATCATTTTTGTTAACTGAATTAAGTGATTCATTGAAAAATTATGAATTATTCATGAATCAAATATAGTTGCATTCTATAGAATTCAGGCGGATGTCAAGATTTCCATTGAATATGAGATCAGTTTCAGGCTGTTCCTCATACAAATATCAAATAGCTTCAAAAGACTTGGAGTAAAGCAACCAATGCTGTAAATTTGGAGCGAGACTATCTGTTTACATTTTTACAAAGACTTCAGTTTAATTTGAGTTATTTATGGACTTTTTCACTGTTATTGGAAAAAGATTGAGGAATGAGGGCTGGATTTGAACCTGTGAGATGTGTGTTATTTTGGTATTGTATTATTACAGTATTACTATTTTGAATTAAGTTGAATTTGCTTTTATTTTCATATTTTCTGTTTTCATTTTCATTTTAGTGGTTCAGTTTAAATCTAAGTTATTGGCCAAAGCAACATTTCTAATTTTCGTTTAGGTAAAAAAAAAATTTAATCTAATATTCATATTTTATTTTACTTCAGCTTTATTTCAGTTAACAAATGTGTTTTAAATAGTTTTAGTTTTAGTGGTTGTGAGCACTGTGCCACGGCTGCTGCTTCTGAATGTATGAATCGATCAATTATGTGACCGTGTGTGATTAAGAGAGCCGTGTGTGTGTGTGCGTAGTGAAAATCCTCCCATGATTATGCCTATGCATTGGGTTTTCCTTTCCCGCCAGCGACAGAGACATTGATCTAATGAAGCTGCAGGTCCACGTGCCACATCGCGCGGGGTTCTTTCAGGTCCTCTTACGGTCACTGACGCTGAGACACTGAGACGTATCCTGTGACCATGCTGGAGGCATTAAAACCACTGCCAGCTATAACTACCAAAAACAAATAACTGGTGAGCACTAATTAGATGTGTATAGGTGATATTATCTGCAAAGTGCTTTTCTAACTTCAGTTAGGCTAAAATAAACATATGCAAAGCCTCCAAAATGTTAATAGATATCACCATGCTTCCCCAGCTGAATAATCACAGTGCATTAATACATTTCTTCTGTATTACAAGTGTTCTGAAATGTTATGTTTAAATATGCAAATTTGGCATTATCTAATTAAATATGCATGAATTTGCCTACATTTCGAGAACAGAAATCTAAACCTTGGATAAAGCTGGGTTCAAGTTTCTTGATTTATTTTGTTGACATTTTTTGCATAGGGAATTTTGGATTCTCTTTTTATCACTCCATAAATCATAAAATATCATGTTTTTAGAAGAAAATATCTTATATAGGCTAAATTAGATTAATTTAGGGATGCCACAATTCTCAATATGATATTGAATCATTCGGTTTGAATCCACGTTTCTTGTGAATTGCGTTTTTTTTTTTTTTTTTTTTCAGTTTTGCGTTAAAATAAATTCTGTGCGTTTTATTTCTCTCCGCGTTTGCAGTTTGTTTGTGCCCGTGAGTTCACGTGCTGAGATGAGGAAACTCCACACTTATAACGTGCATTTGAAACATCTTCCCTTGTAATGACTTGTAATGAGAAGCGTTTCTAAACCTGCTGTCCAACAAAAGA